GATACTCTCTTAGCCCTCCCAGGCACAATGATTCTATTGATTATTATCCATTTAGGAAAGTCTTTTGCTCCCTTGCCCCAATTATACAATTTTTTAAATCAATATCACAGTGATTTTCAACTTTTGATCTGAAATCAAACCATTTGAGAACACTATCAAGAATATGATTTAACCTCCTAATTTTGGTTTGTGACTCTGAACATAGTATAGCTTATATTGCACTGGAAAAATTCCAGTTATTTGGCTGTACCTAATGTCAAGAATGCCGAGAAGTACTACTTTGACACTTTTTTTTTCAAAGAGAAGAAAGAGTGAATTTTGGTGGGCAACTAGGGAGTACTCTTACCTTACATATTCATTTGGAATGTTTTGTTTTGTTTTTTCCATTCTTTCACCATAAGGTAGTGCCTATGCTTGAAGGTGAGAAGAGTTCCTTGCGGACAACAAAAAGATGGATTTTGTTTCTTAATGCATTCAACTACTCTGTGTCTTTTGACTGGGGAGTTGAGGGCATTGATATTTAAAGTTATCATTGAAAGATGTATATTGGTGATTTAAGTTTCTGTTTCTGCTCTTGTTCCTAGTTTGTGTTTCCATAATTATACATTCATTTATTTTCTTTCTGCACCTTGTTGGTATGGTCATTCCATTCTTCAGATCTTTGTATTGCTTCAGGTATTCTCTGTAGAGCTGGTTTGATGGGTAGGAATTCTTTCAGCCTATTTGAATCATGCAAGATTTTTCTTTCCCTTCAACTATGATAGACAGTTTTGACAGTTTTGCTGGATAAAGTATTCCAAGTTGGCATCTATGATAATTTAAAACTTGGAATACTTTGCTTCAGGCTCTTTTGGCTTTTATAGTTTGCATTTAAAAATCAGATGGGTTATTCTGATGGGTTTTCCTTTGTATGTAGCTTTGTGTTTTTCTCCTGCTGCCTTCAGTACCCACTCTTTGTTCTTTAAATTTAGTGTTTTTACCAGGATATACCGTAGGAAGTTGCTGTTCTGTCTGCTTGGTGTTCTGGGTGCTTCTTGTATCTGTATGGGTATTTCTTTCCTTAATTTAAGGAAGATTTCTTCTAAAATCCTGTTGAATATCTGGTCAACGCTATTGACCTGAGTCTTCTCCTTGTCTAAGATTATAATGCTTAGATTTGGTCTTTTCACGGCATCCTACACTTCCTACGTATTTCATTCCTGTTTAAAAAAAAAAAAAAAAAAAAACATTTTTGTATTCTTTGCTTGAGCAGTCCAATCCTCCAACTCTATCTTCCAGTCTTGATACTGTTTTCCATCTTACTCATTCTATCCCTTTTGTGAATTCACTTTTCAGACGCTGAATTGTCTTTGACATTTCATTTACCCGTGTATGTATGTTTCATTGAGTTTCAGTCAGGAGTCTACTCCTATTCTCTTTGAGTTGTTCTTTTGCATGTTCTTTAAACTCCTTGAATTCTTTAATCATGTTTGGGATTATTATGTGTCCTAGAATATCTCTGTGTAGTTCTCACTGTACAACACCTCTGTAGGACTAGTGGGATTTGGTGTAGACATAGTATCTTGGTTTTTCATATTGTTTGAGTTTTGCGCTGTGACCTGAGCATATTCACTTCTTTTATTGGTTGTGCAGTGGATATGAAATTCTAGCCTGCCTTTATTAAGTTAAAGTTTGATTCTGGCTTTTTGCTGATGTAGTTTGGTTGGTTTCTGACCAGGTATGAATAGTTAGTCAAACAGTGCTTCAGGCTTTCACTTTTGATTTTTTTTTAAAGTTTAAAGGAAATTTTATTTTTATTGATTCAAGGTCATATAATGAATTTTGATTTCATTAATACTCCCTCTTGCATGTCCACTCTCACCCTATCAACCCTACCCCCTCTTTCCCACCCTCAACTTCATGTCTTCAATTAGCAAATGAAAAATCCCATCTGTCTTATGTGACACCTCTGAGCTGGGTGCTGGAGAAATCATATTTAATTAAAGTGCCAGTGAGCTCTAATTCTTACAAAGAGGTGTGCCAAAATGAGGGCCCACTCCCATTCCTTTGTCCGTGGTTTGGGACCATAATGTATCCAGGTTTCTTGGAATGGGATTTTCACTTTTTTTATTTTTATTTTTATTTTATTTTATGTATATGAGTATTATGCCTCAATGTATGTTGTACAATGCCCATGGAGGACAGATGAAGGCATTGGATCCCCTCAACTGGAGTTATGAACAGTTGTTAGCCATCTTGTGGGTGTTAGAATTCTAACCTGAGTCTTCAGTAAGAGCAGTCAGTGCTCTTAGCAGCTGAGTTACCTTTCTGTTTCTCTTATACACTGCTTATGAATTTCAAGTAGGAATTTCTCTTTTCCTCAGTAGTCAGAAACTTGGTTTTCTTCATCAAAGTTAATTGTTTGCAGCCCTTGCATGCAGGTTACACTTTGACTGTTTCTGGGCCTCACTCAGCACAATGACCCCACTGTGGACCAAGGCATTCTCCAACAGATTGATTCCCCATGGGATTTTGCTGGGGGTAAAAGCAAATGCTAGGTGCTCACCGCAGGCAGCAGTTAACTCACAGGCCTCCAACCCAAGGTTCTCTTAGTGGTGGTTGGGGAATTTCACAGCTTCACCCTATAGTTTTATGCAGCAGTATCCTCTAGTTTATTTTCTGAAATCTGTAGCCTTCTCAGATTCCTAATGTTGTTGAGGACTCCATCCAGGTATTGATAGGTATTGAATGATGATGGTGGTCAGCTGATCATGGGTGCCACTGGGTTACATGGGCAGCCATGCTGGCATGGGCAGCCAGATCAACACAGCTCTGCCATCTTGGCTCTCCATTTGTTTTCCCTCTGACTTGCCAAGTCCTGAGTTCAGAGATTTGAGATAAATATAGGAGCATCAAAATTCTTTTTATTCATTTTTAAAGAATCCTTATTTTTATTAATATATGCATTACAGAAAGCAAAGCACAAGAAGCCAAGAGTAGAATCATCCAGTCACACGCAGCTCAGTTGGATGTGCCCTTCTAAATCCTGCATGTATACACACATTTAGGTATTATTTTTCATAGGTTTTTTGTTTTCTTTCTTGTATATTTTTATTGAATTTTTGTATATTTCATACACAACATCTTAATCATCTTTAGAGCCGCTTCCCCATTGACACCCTCACATACCCCGCCACACTGAATTTCATGCACTCTCTCATTTATGTTAAGACGGATCAAGTCAAGTTAGTGCCCTCAGACGTCCCTCAATGCAAGTTCATCCATTGTGGTCTAGTCAGCCTATCTAGAGTCACCCCCTTAAAGAAGATAAGCTCTTCCTCACCCAGTAGTAATCAGCTGCCCAAGAGTTCTTTGACTAAGGTTGGGGCCTGCTGCCTGTTTCCACAGTTCTATGCTGGTTTTTGTCTGTTTGAGTTTCCATGGGTCTCGTGCAAGCTGCCACCATTGTTGCAAATGTGCAAGGTCCCAAGAGCCTTATAGAGTCTTATAGACTCTATTTGCATATGGTTATTCACCTCCTCACCTGGATCTTTCATTCTTTCTGCCCCCTCTTCTGCAATGGTTCCTGAGTCACAGGTGGGTGAAGTTTAATTATGGGAGTTCTCTCCAAGGACCCACACTCTGCAGGCTCTTATTGTCTATGCTTTGGCCATTTGTGGCCTTTTGTGTTCATTGCCCCCTGTCGCATGAAAAGGAGCTCAAGAGAGAGGGACCATAGGAGACAGGTTTTTATCAAGGGTGAAATGGGTAAACTGGGGGTACTTTTAATTGGGGAGGAAGGAGGGAGAGTTACATAGGGAGCGAGAGGAGAGATAATGTCTAACTGGTATAAAATACCAGAGGAAAATGTATTAGTTCAAAAACCTACTGAAAATTACACATATAATATCTCTACATGAGTCCATTTGTATAGCTGAAGGCTACATAAAAAGAAACAGTGCCAGATAGAAGAAACCTTACTTTGAGTTTTGCCCAGGGTAGTCCCAAGAGACTCTCCAAATTATACAAGCTATTGCCACAGCCCTGATTGCCTCCCATAACTTGAAGGTAAGACCCTATTGATGAAGACAGGACATACTTCAGACACAGACTTGGAGCAATGGAGTTGGACCTGGAAGCCACCTCCCTGAAGGCTAGCTCTCATAGCTTGGAGAGCACTACACGAGCTGCTAAGGGAAAACATCAATCAATGTTTTTCAATTTAAGTTTCAAGGCCTAATAACCATATCAATGGCCAGCACAACAAACTATATTGAGGCAATAGTAGCACTTTTATCTTGGAGGTAATCAACAGCTACTTAACTGGACTTAAATCCTTATTGATGGTAGGGAACTCATATATGGTTCTATAAACATAGGCAAATACACATGGCTGGAGAGGCCATAGACCTTAGAGAAAACCCCAAGGCTGTCACATCCTAGACAAATGTAATTTCTTACTGTGTGCTAAATATGGATTTATTTATAGACAAGTATGCCAGTCACCACTTATCAAAGAAGCTTCTTTTGCAACAGACAGTGATAATTACAGAGCTCCACAACTGATGGAATGAGAGAGAGTGTCTGCAAAATGCCCAACCCTAAGTGACACATCTACAATGGAACCTCTATACCTAAGGCCCATGGAACATAGTGGAACAAGTAGAAAGCATGCTAATAACGCATCTCTCAACTCACATTTAGGTATTCTTATTAAAATGAAGAGGCCCAGAGTCATGCTGTAAGCCCTCCTGATGAGAAGCAGCACCATCTTGGCTCTCTAGTTATTTTCATTCTTACTTGTCAAGTCCTGAGTTCAAAATTTTGAGATCAGTATAGAAGCTCCTATGGTCAGCTAAATATGTGTGTGATCACATGTGTGATAATGTTCCTCCCATGATCCATTGCACACATTCGGTCTCTTGAGAGTTGGCACATTCTGGGTCCTGAGGCCAGCTGCCTAGGCTGCCGCATTCCTACACCACCTTCTCTCTCAACACCATTAGTTTAAGCTGCTTTGTCATTTTCATTCTTGTATATATCACAACTCATACTGAACAATGAGTTCTGGTTGAGAAGAGGATTTAATTTTGTACCTGCCTTTCGTGTCTTTGTTCACCGAACAAACACACACATACAAAGTGCTAACTTTTTATTTTTTAATGGAGGAATCCAGTCAGGTTAGTGGTGAGCTGTCCAGCAACCAGCATGTAGGAGCATAGGCCCAAGGCAGGATGATGGGGACAAAGTGGATGGATTCTGAAGAGCAGTGGGAACAGGGCTGGTCCCAAAGCAGGGAAATGGGACCTAGAGGGCAAGATCTGACTAACTTACCTGGCTTATTGGGATCCAGCAGCATGAAGGGGCCTGGTCCCAATGCAGAATGATGGGGGCCAAGACAGTGGGTTCTGAGTCACTCTTAAATTAATTTTTCAAATGAGCATATAAAGTGGATTCTGTTGTGGCATTTTTATGTATTCTTTGTCTTTATTTGTCTATTCCATACAGCAGCCCTGTCTCCTGCCCCCATCTTACTGGTCTAACCGCCCCCGCAGAAAGCCATCATCTGCTTTCATGCCACATGATTCCATTCCCCTCTTTTTCTTTACTCCCTTAAGATCTTATCATCCTTCATCTACTCCCCTTTCTTGTTTATGACCTAAACACGTACACACACATGCACATGCACGCACACACACATGCACACACACACACACACACACACAATCAAACATCCAAATTTAAACCTAGATTCCACATACAAGAGAAAACATGCAGTATGTTTATGATTGTGGCTTATTTTGTTCAACATGTTTTCCATTTGCATACTTTCATGAAAAATGCGTGATTTCGTTTTTCTTTGTGGCTGAATAAAATTCCACTGTGTATATGTACTGAATTTTCTTTATCCATTCATCTGTTGATGGGCATGTAGGCTGGTTTTACTTCTTAGCTATTGTGAATAGTGCAGCAATAAGCATGGATGCGCAAGTACTCTGTGGTAGGAATTATAGTCTTTTGGTTATATATACAGGAGTTGAGTAGTTGGTGATGTGGTAGCTCAATTTTTAGTTCTTGAGAATTATCTTTACTGATTTTCACAGTGGCTGCATAAATTTACATTCCTATCACAAGTGTATAAGATTTCATCTTTGCACACATCCTCATCACCAGTTGTCATTGGTTTCCCTGGTGATAGTCACTATGATTGGGGTGAGATGGACTCTCAAAATAGTTTACATTTGCATTTCCCTGATGACTAAGAACATTGAAAATATTTCAAATATCTGTTAGCCATTAATGCTTCTTCTTTTGAGAACTGTGTGCTCAGTTTATTAGTCTACTTATTGATGAGAAGACTTGTAGTTTGGGTGTTTAACTTTCTAATTATATATTCAAGATGTGAAACCCATTATTATGTGCACTTGGCAGATTTTATTCCATTCTATAGGCTTTCTCTTCAATCTACTGGAGTTGTTCTTGAGGGTATGTCCAACACTTTTGGAGTATTTTTCAGAGTCCTTACCTGTCCTTATACTGTAAAATTTTTCCCTGTGTTTTCTTGTGACAGTTTCAAAGTTTCAGGTCTTCTGTTAAGGTCTTTGATCGATTTTGACTTGAATTTTCTGCAGAATGAGAGATATGAATCTAGTTTCATTCTTGTATCTGTGGATATACAGTTTCTAAGCATCATTTGTTGAAGAAACTATCTTTTTTCCAGTGTATGTTTTTTACACATTTGTCAAAAATTAGGTGGCTATAGTTGTGTGGGTCTATTTCTAAGTTCTCTATTCTATCTCACTGGCCTATGTGTCAGAATTTTCTATAAGTTTCATGCTGTTTTTATTACTATGGCTTTGTAGTATGATTCGAGATTAGCTATGTTGGAGTCTTAAGATTTCATGTGAATCTTAGGATTGTTTTTTCTACTTCTGCAAATAATATCATTGAAATTTGATGGGAAATGTAAAGAATTTGTAGACTGATTTTGTTGTTATTGTGTCCTTATCTACTTTGGGTATAAGAGTAATACTAGCTTTGTAAAATGAGTTTGGTAGTATCACTTTTCCTTTTTATGATGTGGAAGTCTAGAGTATTGATGTTGGCTCTTACTTAAAGGTTGGTCAGAATTCATCCATGAATCTGGCCAGATCTAAGCTTTTCTTTGTGAGGAAACTATTTTATTACTGCTTTATTCTCATTGCTTCTCATTTATCTGTTTTTTTAATATTTTGATTCCATTTAAATAGGTCGTATATGTTTAAGATTTTATCCATTTTTCCTAGATTTTACAGTTTTTTGTAATGTAAGTTTTCAAAGCACACCCTAATGGTTTTCTGGATTTCATTAAAATCTGTTGCAGCATCCCCTGTTTCAACCTTACTTTTATTAATTTGTATATCTCCACTCTTTATTTTGGTTAGTTTGGCTATAGGTTTGTCAGTCTTGCTTATTTTTTCAAAGAACCAACTCTTTGGTTGATTCTGTGTATTTTTCTTTTAGTCTCTTTCTCACAAATTTCTGCCCTAATTGTATTATGTTCTACCATCTACAGAATTTTGGTTAGGCTTGTTCCTGTTTATCTAGAACCTTGAGTTTCATGATTGGGTTATATATTTGAAATCTCTCTCTGATTTTAAAGAATTTATTTTGTGTGTGTGTATCCATGCACACATGTGTGTGCATGTGCATTAACCCATATACCATGGTGTACATGTGGAAGTCAAGGACAACTTCATGGAATCTGTTATATCATTCAACCTTTACATAGGTTCTGAGTTGGAATTTGTGTTTTCAGGCTTATTCACGGAGCACCTTTATCCACTGAGTCATTTAACCAGCCTTAAGTGTAAGCCCAGGCTGGTCTTGCCCTACATTTCCTGATAGACCAATTAAGTATTGTGTTCATTCCACAGGCTTTTTGAATTGCATACCTAAACCAGGTGTGGTGGTGCACACCTTTAATCCCAGCACTTGGGAGGCTGAGGCAGGTGGATCTTTCTGAGTTCAAGGCCAGCCTGGTCTATACATCCAGTTCCAGGACAGCTGGGAGACCCTGTCTCAAAAAGACAAAAAAAAAAAAAATTGCATACCTAAAGTCTCTGCTTTCCCCAGTGTACTTCAATAGTATGTGGGCTAGAAATAGCCTCATTCATGTCCTCATTGGTCCTCTGTGCACCTGTGGGATGTGGTAAATATCTAACCCATGACACTGAAGGCCTCAGAGAGTGAGGGAAGCAAACAGACTTCTGAGTTACACAACAGTGGTGAGGGGGTGCTATAAGAACTGTGTAGTCTGCCAACACTCTCAGACTCAGCCTCCCAGAAACCATATCCTATGCCTCCTCCTACTCCTTCTCTACCATGACAGATCATACATTCAAACTGTGAGCCAAGATAAACCCTTCCTTCCTAAGTTTCTTTTGTCAGGTATTTCATCACAGCAGTGAGAAAAGTAACTAATACAGAAAGTTAGTACCAACTAGTAGGGTTGTTGCTGTAATAAATCTGACTATATAGTTTTTAAGACATTGGAACTGGTCTATAGGAGGGATGTGGAAATGTTTGAGCTTCAGGCCAGAGAAGTTCTTGAATGCTATAAGCAGAGCTTAATGAGAGATTCTGGTGAGGGGTTGGAAGACTAAAATGACAAAAAAGTTACAGACAGTGAAAGACCAGCACATGAGATTTCAAAGGGGAACAAGGACTGTATTGGGAACTGGACTAAAGACCATGTGCGATATATTTTGGCAAAGGGCTTAGCTGTATTCTACTGGTGTCCTGAAAATTTCAGTGATGCTAAATTCAAAAGTAATAGAATAAATTATCTAGTGGAGGAAATTTCAAGACAGAATAATATCTAAACTGTGACCTGGTTACCATATACTGTTTGTAGTCAGATCTACAGTGAAAGAGAGAAGAGAAAGATATGAAAAATATGCAGCTTGTTAAGGAAAGAACCATGAGCCAGGTTAAAGGTGCAGACATGGTGGTTGCAGAGAAAGCTGTAATTGCTGAAGATATTAGTCCAATTAAGGAGAAACCATTCACTTTGTACTGGAACAACAGTAAAGGTGTTTTGAAGCCAAGCCCCCACCCATAAAAGGATTCAACTTATAAAAATACAAATCCATTGTTTTTCCCCCAAGTTCAGTCTTAAATACTTTGCACTTGCCCTAGCATTTGCTTCAAATTCTCTGCCCTAAGACAAATGAAAGTTTTATTAATTTTTGTCATTCATAACTAACCAAATATGGCATATCCTAAAGGAGCCTTTTCTTTGACCATCTAATTTGTGTGTGCACACATTATAGGAGATCAATGCCAGGTTCCTGTACATGCTTTGCAAGTATTCTACCACTGAGTTATATTCCCAGCCATCTTTTTACTTTTTATCTGAGACAAGTTGTCACTAAGTTACCCGGGCTGGCCCTGATCTCATGAACTCACTCTGTAGCCTTAAGCAAGCTTTGAACTTGTAGTTTTTTAATTCAGACTCCTGAATATCTGAGATTTATAGGCCTGTGCTGCTAGGATCTTTTAATTAATTTTTCAAATCTTCAACCAGTAAATCATTTCTTTTTATTTTTGTTATATTTAAAAATATGTAAAATTATCATTTTTATTTTCTTTCTTTACCATTGTTACATACATCCATGACAAACAATTTTGTGTGTCTCTTCCCTCAGCACCAAGAAAAATTTTACATTCATACTAATCAACATTTGTTGAATATACAAATGGGTGAATGATTTCAAATAATAGTGAATTTTTCTAAAATTATTAGAATTTTGCTTAATTTTATTGTGGTTTTTTAAATTTATTTTTATTTTATGTGTATGAGTGTTATGTCTGCAAGTATGTAAGTGTACCCGTATCATGCAGTACCCTTGGAGGATAGAGGATGCCATCAGATCTCCTGGAACTGGAGTTACAAATGGCTGTTAGCCACCATGTGGGTGCTGGGATTTGAACACAAGTCTTCTGCAAGGACAGCCAGTGCTCTTAACCGGTGAGCCATCTCTCCAGCCCCTGTTTTATTGTGTTTTAATTAATTCATTCTTAAACTGGATGTGGTGGTACATGCCTGTAATCCCAGTACTTGGGAGGTAGAGACAGGAGAATAAGGAACTCAAGATAATCCTC